AATTTGAGATATATAATACAAACTTCAAAAACCATAAATTATCATTATCGCTTTCCTTTTAACCGGAAATACATTATAGCACTACCCATATACTATCATATCTCTTTCCTTTTTACTGGAAATACATTAAAACACCACCCATATCCTATCATATCACTTTCCTTTTTACTGGAAATACATTAAAACACCACCCATATCCTACCATATCACTTTCCTTTTTACTGGAAATACATTAAAACACCACCCATATCCTATCATATCACTTTCCTTTTTATCGGAAATACATAATAGCACTACCCATAGACTTTCACATCACTTTCGTTATGACCGGAAATACATTTTATCACTACCCATAGACTTCTATATCTCTTTCCTTTTAACCGGAAATACATGATAACACTACCTATAGACTATCATATCACTTTCATTTTAACCGCAAATACATGATAACACTACCCATAAACTATCATATCACTTTCCTTTTAACCGGAAATTCATGATAACTCTACCCACAGACTTTCATTTTACTTTCTTTTTTACCGGAAATACATGATAACACTACCCATAAACTATCATATCACTTTCCTTTTAACCGGAAATACATGATAACACTACCCATAAACTATCATATCACTTTCCTTTTAACCGGAAATTCATGATAACTCTACCCACAGACTTTCATTTTACTTTCTTTTTTACCGGAAATACATGATAACACTACCCATAGACTATCTTATCACTTTCCTTTTAACCGGTAAGACATTATAACACTACCATAGACTATCATAACACTTTCCTTTAAACCGGAACTACATAATAGCACTACCCATAGACTTTCATTTCACTTTCTTTTTAACCGGAAATACATGATAATACTACCCATAGACTATCATATCACTTTCCTTTTAACCGGAAAGACATGATAACACTACCCATAGACTATCATATCACTTTCCTTTAAACCGGAACTACATAATAGCACTACCCATAGACTTTCATTTCACTTTCTTTTTAACCGGAAATACATGATAACACTACCCATAGACTATCATATCACTTTCCTTTTAACCGGAAAGACATGATAACACTACCTATAGACCATCATATCACTTTCCTTTTAACCGGAAATACATGATAACACTACCCATAGACTATCATATCACTTTCCTTTTAACCGGAAATACATGATAGCACTACCCATAAAATATAATATCATATGATTTATTTGATCAGGAGATTTGAAGCGGAATATAACTTCCTCTTTAATAATAGCTAAGAATTGAGGAATACATAAACATATAATAAATTAATGTTATGTCATAGTAAAGTCAATGAATAATAATTTCAAAAATAAATATCTTTATAAATTCCTTCGTAATGGTGATTATCAAATGTTAATATATATAGCCAATTTTATGATGTATATTACTCTTCTAACCCAAACTATATATCGTAGTCGCAATTAAGCCTCATAGAAGCGTACCAATACAACATGAACACTTCAAGTATAATATAACATAAATACATCACCAAAATAATTCAAAGAAACGTCATTGTACTCTCTTTCGGAAACAGGAACGCACCATCATACACTTTAGTGACAGTTGGAACTCTTGTTTAATAAAAAGGAAATGAATTACTGAAAATTTAAAAAGACACTATAATTTGGAATAAACTAGAACTTGCGTATCTTTTTCCCCAACATATCAATAATATTACAATTTCCATGCTTAATATATAGAATGATATGTAGTTTTTTTCTATTTTCAAATGAAATGTCATTACAAATGTACTCCATACCAATGTCTATTTGTTGCTTATTTGGTGCAAATATATTGTATCGGATGCACTATCATCATAATGACGCTTTAAAACAAAAAAAGGAAAACACTTTTAAAAAAATTAATGCAAGAGTCAGATGTGAGGGTGTATGACTAGTCAGTATTCTGGTATCGCCAGCTAATGTAGAAGTTTGAGAAAAAAAACACAAGCGAACAGAGCCTTCCAATACTAATTTAGACATAGCCACGATGCTTTTGACTGTACCATACTCTTCACACGCTTTGCCCCTCCAGGACCTGCCAGTGATGCCAAAGGCCAATACCCTGAAACGCTGGAGGCGACCTAAGAAAGCCAAAGCAATCGAAAGAAATGTCAAAATGTTGAAGGGGAGGGGCACAAGCCACATAATTCTATAAATTACTTAATTTGTATATCTTATCATTTCAAAAGTACATGTGAAAATTCTGAATCGTGCCACTAATTGAAGAATTAAAACATGGTATGCAGTTTACGGACAACCTGGGGCTAAAAGTGCAATAGCAGTGTTTACCATCTGCAATCTCTGGGACTTTACAAAAGACACACAAGCGAACGACACATTCTAGAAATAGATACAGCAGAGTTAACCAATGTGTAAGACTTAATCACACAGCTGTCTCGCCTTTCCAGGACCCACGCACTATCATTATTGAAAACAGTGTGTTAAACATGCTTGTTAAACTGAATTCCTACTGAGACTTGTTGAATATCATCAACAAAGAGGAATTCTCTACGTACGGTTAGGTACATCAGTAATCTCGACCATGTAGTCGTCCAGTAATTAGTGTTTTGTAGACAACGCTGAATTTAGTGTTTTACAGAAAGAATGAATACCCCTACCATTTGTAAGCACCTTTTTGTAAGCTTTTTTTTTATTAAAAGTTCCTTATTTTTCGTTCTTTTCTATAATGTGTTAGAGCCACTATGTAAAAATTAAATATTCTATATTCAGATTCGATTTTTAACATCGAAAGCAAGTTGAATGCAAACTAAACCCTCGCTTGAACTAACAGCATATTACAATTCTAGTTTAAATATGAAAACAACCGAATGGATTACCGGATTCTTGTATAACAAAAGAAGAAATGTGGAGGGGAAAACATTTCAAAGATCTTAATAATACGTCTGGCAGCATTGAATAAGAAAAATGACGTACGTCTGGTAGCATTCAATAAGAAAAATGACATAAGGCCGATTATTTTCATGGGTCAAACTTTTCACAATTTGGTTTCAAAGAAGATGATTAAATTTTGACGAATTAAATTTTTCTTTAAACTTTCGTGATTTTGATGAAAGATGTTATGTAATTTTCGTAAACATTCTTGTACATGACTGCGAGTCTACCAGGCAAAAACAATGCATGTACCGTACCACTTAATCCGTTCTAAACAATTGTATTTGTGGAAAAGGACAAGTCACATAGTTATGTTATTGATATGTGAATATTCACACGCATCACATTATTTCACGGGGCCAAATTTTCGCGATCGCATTGCCCCATGAAAGAGCGAAATTGTAATCCCCTCAAAATTAACAAGCTCTACGACACTCGGTACACATAAACGGTAAATTGTATTTCTTCATTTTACGATTTAGCTTAACAATGACCATTTGTCGAAAAATATGCATGATATAAGTTCTTATCAGTATTAGTAAGTATCATATTTATTATGAAGAAATTGTGTGCTTTGTGAATAACAATCATGCAATTAATACTGAACTTAATTTACTTGTTATTGCCAGTAACCATGGGAACTTCAGTTATCACTTATAACTCTGTGTTAGTCTTAAAAACAAATTGCACTGTGTACTTCTGCGTCAAGCAGAATTTTAGCTTTTTAATTCGTAAACATTGATTACCAATTTACTTGACAAACATTTTGTTTCTTAAAAAATCCTTGTCTGTTCGATTTGATTTTTCTGGACGCATTTACAACAATTTTTTCAACGAGACCACAAAAAGCTGGAATGGATAACTGTTTTCACCGTTATAGAAAAATGAAACATATTTGTCATATTTATATGACCTCTACACATCTTCGATATTCCAAGGGTTACGATCACTTTTGCTCTCTGCACCACTGGAACATCTCATGGCAAAACTGAAGGTTTCATGTGCAACACATTGTGGACAAGACAAAAGACAAGTTCGATCATTTGATGTACGTTAAACGAATATCAAGGTCACACAACGGTATATTGTAATAGCTTTGGAGTTGTGTGTAGCTCGTTTATTAAATCCAAAAGAACATATTAGCCTGTGATAGGTCAGATTTCTTCTCCTGGCACGAATCATCTTTCACCGCTTTGATTTTTGCCATGACATGTTACGGGGGTGCAGAGAACGAAAGTGATCGTAGCTCCTGGAGTATCGAGGATGCATATCTACAGTACTATAGATAAAGTAAGATAAAAGTATGAAAATACATTTCCATTTTAAAACAAACAACACGCATTAGCCTCTGTCAAGAAAACTTCCACCAATTTCCGGTTACCATTTTTTATCTAACACAGAAATTTTTGTTTTCGTATTACAAGAATGCATATAATAATATGTCTTCTCCTGCGCTTCTAATGATCTACTTCAAAAACGTGTTTTATAAGCAGACCTTGGCATGATTGTGCTAAGAAGTTAAAAAACTATTTGTTTCGAACCGTACGTCAGTTTTATAACCTAAACGATGCGGATAACACACCAAACACAACTTCTCAGAATATTCGATATTCATACGTTCACTCATATTCTTCTCCGCGTCCTTGGATTATGTTGGGACAAGAGCAGCGATAGTGCCGTGCGTTCTTTTGTACCAGGCGACCGATCATTGTGATCTGTATGGGTTGGTTGTTGAATTATCACGATGCACCTAACATCTCAAATGAAAGTTTTCTCTCCATTGCCTTTTTAATAATTATATACAATAATCACGCGTAAAAATATTTAAATGAATACAGCACACTGTGGAAATGTTAAAAGGACAGATGTAAGACTTCTGATTAGTCAAGTCTTTGGATTACCGCAAGGCTTAAATTTCCGCAAAGAAAGTTAATGTCAACGTTTGTTTGTCTTTTGAAAACATAACAGTTGAAATATAACATATTGTCGTCCTGTACAATCCTATATATATTCATTTTTAACGTCTGACGTCATCACTGTAGTATATGACGTCATTAAGTTAGTTTTATGTGACTTCATATGTCTCGCAGATGCACTGACAACATAGTAGGGCGTAGATATGCTGTAGACATGTGTGGCCTCCTGTTCCAGACTTCTCTATTAATGGTTTTCGCTCATTTTGAACTGTAATTTGAAAAGTTGAAAAACGAAATATTAGGACACTCTATGATCAACGAACATTCGTCAAAATAAGGTAAAATGAATGTGTTTTTTTTTCAATTCATTGCCGTCAATAAACGTAAATACAGCTATATAAATACTTAAAAGAAAATCTTTTTATGCGAATGACCAATGGTTTTTCTAAGAAAGTTAAATACACAGATCAGTTCAATATTTTTATGAAACTGATATTCAATATACAGGTTATTAACATCAGACTTTTGACATCATTTCAAAGAAAAGTCTGTTCTCCTTTTTCACATTATTCAGATATATATGAATTCCTAGAGTTGTGCAAAGCTATGTTTATATTCAAATAAACACACATATTCTGTACTATATAATCAACGAAATGATGTTTTGGAGATAAAATCTACTAAAATGTATTCATATTTTCCCCCCAGTGCTTACAGATTTACCTGGTTTTGTTTGATTTGGCAAAAAAACTTTCTTCACTTTTATAGCTGGTAAAATATAAAAACATATAAAACAAGGTTTGACTGATGACATATACATATCAATGATATTGAAATAGTAAATAGTACACATACCAGTGCCTTCTCCAACTTGTTTCTTGTGGGTATGATCCTCCAACTGCTTCATACCCTCGCTGACAGCTCTGCTACACTGAAGCAAATACAAAGATACCTTTATACGTATGCTCCTTAGAAACATTACTCGTTGTTTTTGTTGACGCTTCCCCGGTTTTCTCTTGCAGAACGTGGTATTACTTGAAACTGACCCGTATTATGTAAGGCGAGTGTCCTCGATTAACATGTAGACGCTGCTTGCTACAACGGAATATCTTGTTATGATGACGATGGGAAAGATTAAGGCCGACTTCATGAAGATTTTGATGCTCGTTTGTATGCCAATATTCGTTTTCTTTTGCTTATTTGAAATCACTGACCTGAATTGACCTAAATAAAGCAGAAGACATTCACCCTCAACTAATCAGACTGTCTTTGTACGTAAAATTTTCTTTTGATCATATTTTCCTCACGTTTCATCATTTCTTTATTTTTTTTTCGTTAATTTAAAAAAAAATTATTTTCGCACGTTTGTTCATTGTAGAAATATATGTGTATTTTTTCTTTAATTGATCTTTTATCCTGATATCACTGTGCTGTATAATAACATAATAGCTATATTCACTTTGCAGAGAGTCAACAATAGTGGGTGTTTACTGTAATTTCGTATGATATTTGATATCTTTATAATACATGATTTGTTGTTAACAATAAGGTAAATGACCCATTGCTTTGTTCGAACCTTGTAATTACACTTCCCATGGGATCGGGATACACACACTTTACATAGATGTCAAGCTTAATGATAGGTTTTTGATATTTAGGTGTATGGTTTTACTAATTCTATACCATTTTTTCTTAATATTTTTCACTGACATCCATAGAAATAACTTTTTACATTAAAAGTCATAAAGATTATATATCTATATATAGATATATAATGCAGCTAAGCTAACCAAGCAAAGACTGACTATTTCCTTTCGCAAGAGTTCAATTAACTTACTCGATCATGGAATCTACTTCTGAATAATGATTCAGCTTAACTGGTGACGGAATGAATGTGTATTTATTAAAAGAAATATACAAACTTCTTTCTTTATCATATTTTAGATAGGTTTTTGAAGCCATCCATTTCAAACTCTAGCCATTAGTTCTGTAAAGAACTTTCAAATGAAAAAAAAATTCATTAAGATGACTAGGCTTCGTATATTTTGATTTAGCCAATAATCTACCAACGTTTAGCCTAAGGGTTCTATTATACAGATTTTAAACACCGTCCGTTAGGTACTGGTGTTGTTCTGTAATCAGGGAGGTTAAGCCCCAAGGCGATACTTTGATCTGTCAATACATATCCATTATATGGTCGTTACGTGCCTGCTTGGCGTTATAGACTAGTTGGGACATATCAGACAAATTTCTGTTGTCCCACGAATAATGTGAGAGTAGGATTGGATTAAGCAGCTAGCATGCATGTAAGGTTTGACTTGCTACAAATGTACAGTTTATCTCAGATGCAACATGCAACCAATAAGGAACCAGAAAATACCATATTGGCGTGTTGTATACGCCTTAGGATTATGATAGGCAAATAAATGTAAACCCGTGAATATCGGCGCTTGTGTTCTACATATGTTCTTTAAAATAACTGAACAGTTTATGAGGGAAAAAATGTCAGCACTTAATGTTTGTCCACTAAAGCAGCTGTTTTATAGAATCCCTTTCCCAACAATAAAAAAGCTAGGTATGTCTCATCTAATTAGAAATGTATGGAAACAATACTGGACAACAGTATTGAAAATATTGAGAAACAGCAGGCCAAACATTTTTTACAAGTGAACACCTAGATATCATCAGGTCAAGAGGCAGAATGGTAGCACACTCGCAATTCATCAAGGCGCACGGGATTCGAATCAGCGAGTGTTCATCTGTCCATCTGGTAATGTGTTATCTCGGGCTAATCCGGTTTCCTCTTAAAGTAAGACCCCTCGTGCGCTTCAACTCGGGTCAACAATTAACATAAGGTGTTTCGTATTTGTTGTCAAATACGTAGAGTTTATAAAATATATATATATAAGTATATGTTCTATACAGCAAATAACTGGAGAGAACTACATACCAATACATATTCGTAAACGATTTGTTCCTGTTAGTGTCCATGTATTAGAACAGACGCGAAAAATAATCACTATGAACGTGTAAACTTATCAACACATATATCAAATACTGCATCGCAGTGAAGTAGGCAAAGGGAGAAAGATCGCGAAAATTGAAAGTCACGATAATAGAATGGTTTACATAATATATAGGAAAATGTTTTTTTAATCAATAGTAATACGATTGACTATTATGAAAACGACAGCAATTATGGCAGTGACACTCCTTGTTAACAATGTCCTGCCATCCCCATACTTACTGCAATACGAAACAAGCAATGTCACGTTTATCGATCTGCGCATAGCGGCTAATAACGATTTTTTATTTGTCTATCAGATATTTCAGTAATAAAATGTTCAATTATATGTGTGTGTAGGCGTTTTTTCTCCTACGGCAAGACAAGACGGATTATCTTTTTGTGTTTAATGCCATCTTTGTGATTGTTCATCTACATGGAAATCTTGATTAAGGCTTCAAACCTGCATCGATCGATAAGTAACAAGGCGATGAAGTATGAACGGAAAACACTTGGATTTATGCATCGATTAAAGGATTGAGAGAATAGCACCTTCAATATAAATTTACAACTAGACACAGCAGGGCTGTATCTTCGTAGGATTCGTCAATGATGTTAAGGTCAAAGGACTGAGGAACATCAAACTTTTCCGAAAGTCTTTGAATGCCAGTTCTGGCAAGCTTTAGGGAAAAGATCATCAGCGGTCTAAAACCTTTATTCTCAGAGGACGATATAAAAGGCACACAAAAGAATGCTATCCTTCAATACAAAATAAGAATAATTTGAATACAGAAGGAACATGAATTTTTTCACCACATACCCTATATTCTTCCTTTAAGCAATTTTAGATGTCATTGTATTAACAATACGACACACAGCCTTATTAAGTCAGCACGTCATTGCATGCCTGTGCTTTAAAAGGTATATAGTACGAGTGTCATAGTGGTTATAATCGTAATAATAATAATTGATGGTATTGACACACATGGACATTCCCGACACTTAATTTGAGAACATGAGATTATTTGGTTTATCGTAGACTTACATCGCAGGTGTCTATCGTCGACAGAGAAAACATATCCACTTTTTCGGAACACGCGGTTTCATTATCCTTGACCTTCTGATATTTTTACTGCAGATATTTCATATTTACCAACATTTTATCAATTTCGACTGTGAAACTTGATTCTGTTAATATGTTGGTATTTTATTGCAAATGCAATCGTGTCGAAGTCCTAACGAAATTATTTCAGTTACGAATGTCATGATTATTATAAATGCCAGTGAGAAACAAAAGAAACGATTATATTGACTTAGTAAAACAGTATTTTAGCTTCTCCAATTGGAAACGAGACGGCCTAAACCCTCTGAAAAGTGATGGAAATAGGCGACCAACACCTGTGAGCTATGACAATTGGAAACGTGACGGTCTAAACCCAAGCCCTCTGAAAAGTGATGGAAATAGGCGACCAACACCTGTGAGCTATGACAATTGGAAACGTGACGGTCTAAACCCAAGCCCTCTGAAAAGTGATGGAAATAGGCGACCAACACTTGTGAGCTATGACACGTTAAATCTACAAAGAATAACATGTACTAGCACGCTTTAATTAACTACAGTCAGTGATAAACTCCCAATATATTTGATATGATAATATTTAGATAAAATTTGTATTTTGTTGATATACGTTACTTTTATACCATTAGATGGGCCTGATATATCACATTGTATGGAGTACGAAAACATATTGTTGAACACGATAAACTCTCAGATAGCTTTTGATTATTTATGTTCTCAACAAAATACATGATCCTTTTTATGATTAAGGTGACTTAACCTGAATCTAACGAACGTTATTATATGTGTGTCATACAGATTTTGAACACACATAATGGGAAAGTGCCCAGTCATTAACTGTCATCGTGTCAACAACAACAGATATAAAGCAAATGTTAGATTATCGTCATTTTTGTAATTTGCATCGATTATTAATGCTGGCATGTCAAAACAAATTTATGGAAAGGACACATAAAATTTAGAAACTCATTAATCTTCTTAATTGTAATTCTCTTCCATGTGAAAGATGACATTAATGAAAACAGACATCGCCCTACTGAATGAACGCCATTTCAATAAATAGAGCTGAAAATCAAATGTTCTTTTCTTAATATTAAACGATTTTCAATTATCTTCGGAGAAATCGATTCTTCACAGTTTCTTGTTAATATGGTTTTTTAATTATTATTTTCTCTGTTGAAAAATTGGTAACACAGCGTAAGTTAATATATCTGAGGAAACAAGTTTTACGATTCTTAAGTGATCATTAAGGCTGGGAGAAATTTAATCTAATTTTCAAATTCTGAATTAATGAACCTTTACGGGAACACTGTTTTCAATATGTCTGAAAGTGAAAAACCATAAGCGTTTTAGAACACGATTGGAATATAGCTACCTTTAAGATGTTAGTTTAAGCAAAGTTTTGAGAAACAATTTCCCCATTCCATAACGAATACTTGTCATATTGAATCATTGACAAACCTATTCGACACAGGATGGCATCTGACAGAAAATCATTTTGAGGTAGATTCTGTGATTGATTTGTTTTCTCGGTAATATGACAATTCTGTATGACGTTTCTATACAATGGCAATAATCTATTCCGCGAGTGTAAACATATTTTCCAGACACGTGAATCTTGTTATTTTGATATAATACTAACTTGATTTATTTAACAATTGCGAAAAAATTTCAGCTTATATTAATCACTCTTCCTGACCCAGATTGAAGCGCGCGCGGGGTCTTACTGTAGGAGGAAACCGGAGTACAAGTGGAAAACCCACGTGGTCGGGCAGATTTCCCCAAACATTTTCACGTCTCTTCTGGGAATCAAACCCCCGGACGGCTAGGTGAAAGGCGAGTGCGTTACCACTTCGCCATCCGACTACCCAATGTAGGTATCTTAATTATTGCCCATGGATGTGTAATTCTGTACAAGTGGGATTTCTACAGAAAGGCCGTTACTGTTCACGTATCAAATTCATCATAGCTCTGCAGGAAATGAAAATAACACTCTAGTGAATAATATATCTCAATACAAATTCAGAATTAGATACAATCAAATCAAATAATCAATTCAGATAATCAATCAAAATCAGGTTATTGTACTAAACTGTTGAAACATATAAGACTACTGCGCAAAATCAAACTGGAATGGTCGCAATAAATGTCACATAAACAAATAGGGAAGTTAGAGGCAAATTATATTCTTTCATGACATTTTGATAAAAATACAAGTTACTTCCATTTGTCTCGTCATATATCAAATTTTAAACGCATTCATTAGAACTTTAGAAAAGTTATACAAACTGTCCCGGGTTCGATTCCTAATGTTCAAATGAAAATTTTTGCGATCACTGTTACGTGCAGTGATGCGAGGAATATTGACAAAATGCTTGTCTCCTTTTTACAAGCATCGATGTTACCTCTAGAAACTCGAGGACGAGTTGATTAATTGCTTTCTGGAAGCAGTATAAGTCATCCTAGTAAAATAGTAGGACTGCTTGATAAGTTGTGAACCTTGTATTGAAGAAGATAAGCAGGAATGTCCTATTTTAGCACTAGTATTCCCTAACTATTTAAGGCCGTGTACCCGCAGACGGGTGTCATTTGGTCAGTTTATGACGAAGACGTAGCACTCTAAAGTAAACAAGGCAAGTGACCGTTGCAAATTGGACAAAATCACCAAAAGAGCAGTGATTCAATATTTGCATAAGAAAGGTCTAGCATCTAAGGATTTCCATACTGATATAGTAGCAACACTAAAGAATTATGCCCGTTCATTTGTTACAATGAAACTTTGGATGGCGGAATTTCAGCGTGGCAGAAAGAGCCGTGGGGATGACGCCCGTCCTAGAGGATCTTGCAATGAGGCAGTTCTCAGCCCGTTGGGTACCAAGGTTTCTGACAATTGATCAGAAGCACACCAGGCAGACGTTGTCGGGTGCTAATCTGATCCTTTTAGAGGCAGATCCTGCAAACTTTCTGCACAGGAGTTGACTATAGACAAACGTTGATTCAGCATTTCACTCCAGAGGCCAAACGACAATCTAAATAACGGAAGCAACCTGGTTCATCCCAAAGAAAGAAAGCATCAACTGGAAAGGCTATATCATCCGTTTTCTGGATGCTGATGATACTCTGATGGTAACTTATCTGCAAAAGGGACAATCAATCAATGGCACATATCATGCATCATTTCTAAGTCAGGTTATAGAAAATATTAAGCTCAAGCACAGCGTAAAACGTAGTTAAGGTATGTTGTTCAACCAGCACTGTGCCCTTGTTCACAAGTCTCATTGTCATGGCTGCCATTAACGATTGTGACTTTAAATTGATTGAGCATCCACCTGATCTCGCTCCATCAGACTTCCATCTATTTCCAAAAAATTGAAAAAAGCCATTTCGGTACCCACTTTCGGTCAGATGATGACGTCAAGCATGCAACGGGGGACTGTCTGAACTGTCAAGAAAACTACTTCACTGGAAGTGGCATTGAGGCCCTGAAGCATCGCCGGCAAAAGTGTATAGATAATGAAGGGGTTTATTTTGGAAAGTATTGTAATATTTCCGCCAAAAGACAAGGCCTTAAATACAATGATCACAACTTATCAATCAGCCCTCGTATTAATCACTTCTTTCCGACTCGGCCAAGGAAATCATATCTTATGGATGCTGGCTAGATCATATCCTCACTTAGATTGTGATACTTTTCATCACTTTTGATTTTCCTTAGTCGCCCTCCAGGTATAAACTTTGGGCCTTTAGAATTGCTGACTAGTCCAAGAAGGACGAGACAGTTGTATGTTTCATTATTTATCTAAGTTGTATATATTTAAAAACAATAGACAGGTGTAATTCACTTTGTCTTTTGTGCAACATAATTTAAATAGCCTTTTTACAAATCTAGGGATTTGTATGAATATGATATTTGCAAAAAAAGAACAAGGATAATAAGACCAGCTTTTTAAATGAGAGCATGGTTCATATCAACTGAACCATCCGGCAAATTAGAGCATCAACTACGCATTGGAGATTCTATTTTCATGTGACAATCTAACCAATATACAAATGACTTGTTAGCATCAGAAATATTAGAAATAGGACAAGTAGAAATACAATACACATTGTGTTAAGAATGCTTGACAAGTACCACGGGAAGCTAACAATGTTTTGAAGAACAAAAGCCTTATAGTGGATATCGGGCATCTATGTTCCAGTGCACAGCTGTCTGCATCTGATAAACCTGATTAGTGGGATGATTATGTCTTCTACATATACATTGTTATCACATTTGTTCGTTCACGACTAGACATGTTGACACAAGGGTTTTAGCTAATGTGAAATTATACTGCGCGTGTAATTGATTATGGACACGTTCCCTTGACACCTATGAAATAGATTCTTGTCTACGTCCTTGCTACCCTATAATAATAATGACAATCTTCTTAATTTCTCAAATACTGAGAATTCTTTTATTTGGCACAATCAAATTTTTTGCGTATTATCTTATTTTTGAAATCTGGTAATGATAAGTTTGCACTTTCACATCAATTACGTTGTAATGATATCTTAACGCAACACTTTCAACGGGAAAACATCTTAAATACATTCACATAATGTCGGATACTTGCCGGATATAGTTATAGTATTGTGTTGGTACCTAATATAATTCATCTAATACTAATCATTAAATTGACATTGGAATGAAACATATGCAATCAGAAGTTGCCTTCAAATGTAGAAACCTTCCACAACACAATGAATTATCTTTCCTGCAAAATCCTTCGTTTGATTCCACATGTCCCCCTTCCGGCCTGCTACTTCCTATACTCTTTTTTTCACAATATTCTTCCCACGTTCTCTTCCAGTCCCATATTTTCCCATTCTCTCTTCTCTTTCACAACACTATTGTCTCCTCTTGTCGCCTTTACATCACTGTACTTCCCAGTACCCTCTCTTTCAAAATTCTCTCCCTTTGTCGCCTTTCCAAAATATCTAATTGAAAACATAGATATAATATCTACATGTTTTTAACTTTGTAATTAAACCTATAAAAATCCATCGAAGTAAAATGGACAGGTGTTCCGGAAGAGTAAGCGTTTCCTGCTTTATCAACAACATCCGCAATGTCAACCTCTGTTGATCAAATAAAGGAAAATATTGCGTTCCAAAATGAGAACAATGTTAACAAACCTGAAACCATCATGCACATCAACGAGCATCAAGCACATTTAACCTATTTCGAACTAGGAAATTGAATAACTGCTAATGGTATTATGGACAGCCATTATCCTCTCCATAGTCTTCATCCATCTACATCATATGGACTCTGTATTGTATGTTTATCTGTCAGCTTTCTTGTAAAAAACGTGCTACTAAGAACAATCGTTTTATCAACGACTTAACAGCGACATCATAAAAGCACAACCGCCATTTCATCTTAATTTGATCCCTTGAAACCAGAATACACATACTTCTGGTGAAGCGTACAACCAATCGAATAACTGTTAAATAAATGTTAATGAAGCTGTATTGTTTGGACACGTTACAGCCTACATCAGCGCGAGGATATGTACACTGTAGCTTACAGTACATGTCAGTTAACAACAGCACTTTATTTGAAACCGAGACAGCTTAACATAGCAAACAAAATCTATTTTTCAAAATAAAGATTTTGAAAACTTTGATGCAGACACTACTTCAAATATGAAACTGTCATCGTTTCGATGGAAGAAATCGGTGTGCATTCTGGACATTTGTTTATCCAAATTTCTTTAGATAATATAGACATGACTGCGATGTAAACATATCAGATCATTTTCACCAAAGGTATTACTGATTATCCTTATAACTCTTATCTCATTTTGAGTAAGTGACACGTTGAAAGAGCACAAAAATACTTCGAAACCTACATTTGAGTTTAATCTGTCCTCTTCATCTATCCTCTCATTTGAACGATGATTATTTTCATCTTCGTCATCACTGGACACCGGAGGGGGTAGTTCAGGGGACACTCGTCCTGAAATGGAAGTAAAACATTGACAATATTTCACATTGTTTATATCATGCTGACGTCATTTACAGACGTTTGTCTACATTTTACACTCATGTTGGTAAAGATAGAAATTCGAAAACAGATAGATAACAAGGGTGTCTATAGGTGAAAGGGATGTTCAAAACCTAGTGGTAAATTTCATTTAGAGAGATGATGAGATAGAGGTGTAGTTATATTTTGATATTCGATAACGGAGACAAAAATGAAGAGTCCTTTATATTACATTGGAAGAAATATATCGTTCATTGCCTTTTTTTACCTATTACAAGGGAAACTAGGAAAAAATCAATATAAGCTGTTTTCAACGTTCATATAAATCGTTGGTGCAATTCAATAGAGGAAATAGATTAACAATGATTTAGCAGCCACAAGTACTGGAATATTATTTTTTCCTCGTGCAACATATACAGGAAGACAATATACTTCCGTGTTCTGTCATATTCTTTGTTCCGAAGATAATTCATGTATATAACGAATATTTCCATCGCAATAAATCAATGTAGGATCAAAATAAACAAGTGTTTTTTAACATGGTCTGTGTGCGATGAATGATGATATTACCGTGTAACGTACATATTTCAGATAGTACGTCGTATGTCAGAGTCGTTTCGGTAAGATTTTGGTGTTGTGCATATGTGTCTTATGTCAGCAACGTCGTTATCAACAGAAGAAAAGGATATCTTACCATTGTCGCTTATCCAATGTTACATCTAAAAGTTACTCAACATTAAAGTTGGCATTTTCTACAATCACTGATAACATTTGTTAAATGAATCGCAAAGACTTTGAAACAAAGTTCCAAAGATTGTATAAGAAAGAAGCTAGTATACATTATGAAGTAAGTACGATATTCTACCAACATAACACCGATATTCTCATCTTCATGAAATCCTAGATATTATGAAAAGAGAAGCTTTATTCACCTGTGGTATTATGATGGTGCTAACCGTCTTATCATGAAAATTCAGTTTCCACTCCTTAACAGTTTAAAGACTGGAGATAAGGAGCTGTTATTTGGTATGTACTAGCGTATGCTATCAAAATGCAAACGAAGTCATTATTTGGTTCTTGTCAACCTACTCCTTTCCAAAGTTATGACCTCTGAACTAAGAACATTTCGAGAAATCGCATGTTACTTTTTTGTTTTCTCAGATTAGTTGTGGATAATAAACCGAAATGTGTTTTTTGTTGTTGTAATTATCCCTGTGTTTTAATGCGTGGTTTTCTTGCCATAGCTGATGACTTTCAAAATCAACATCATACTGGAGGCCTTCGCATGTCGTTCAGAGGAACTAAGTAAATAGCCTTGTCTCAGAACACAACCACATCAGAACAGACCAGTCCGTTACCAGATCTTGAGAAAAACAAATAAGGGCAGATTGTGTCAAACCATGCACCTCGGATCCTCACCATGGGATACGTATGTCAACCCTTTAACCTACTGAGCCATAGCAGCCACTTTGACTGAAATGTGATGTTAATTTCTATTTTGAAAAGATTTAAATTCAAACTTTATTTCTTCCCGTCAACTTATACTTACAGAGTTTTGGCCCTTGAACCAAGACAATTATTATCTAGTTATATTAATTAGTTGGCGGCGGGAACATTTGTATAAAAATTATATATAATAAAAGAAAAAAAGAACTCTGTTCTGTCTTGCAGACACCATCCTGGAAGAATTGCGTGTGATCTCTCAATGACTATTTAAAAAACCAAGAACTTTTCAAAGTAAGGATACTATGCTCCCAACAAAACCAGGCCATCGGCAGAATCGATAGGTGCTAGACGAAAATTCTCGATTTGTATTCAGATAATGAAGGGGTTTTATGCTCTTCCGAACAAGTAGTGTCGTTTGTTTTCATTAGATTAATAGTTTTCTTATTGACAAAAGAATCGAAATAGCTTTGAAGGAGACAAGTAAATTACACAGTTAGTTAGGCTGGGGTTTGTTGTATTCTTACAGAATCAGCGTTTAAAGTGCAGAATGGTATTGAGAAGAGACAAATTCCGATGTAGGTAACGGTTCTAGTGTTGGCTCCGTCTTATATGTGTTGTATGATACTTTTTACCATAACAACATAAACATTTGAATTGCTGCTAACTCATGAATGGCAGATGTGTTCAGAGTCTAACTCACGTGTTGCAGCTTCTTCAACATACAAGATTATATAGAGTTTTCGAAAACGGAATTATTAGCTAATTGTTTTACTTTCGGTACGTACATCGCTCTGTATTTGCTTTAACATAACTACAGATGACTTGGTAAACGATCCTTATATTTACACTTAACAAAAATTTCATAAAACTTTTGAAATTGAATAACTTTATACACATGATTAGAACATCGGCGAGATTATACGAACGGCCATATCTTACCGGAAGCAGTAGTTTCCACAACTTGGGCGTTATTGAAAACAAAATAGATCTAAGAGCAAATAATTAAATAGATTTTTTTATGACTAGATGTAATTACAGATATCATGTAACATTACATATAAGTGTTTTACATGTCTCTTCCCATTCCAATCCCAGTCACGACTGGGGAAGGCGCTTTAACATATTTGATCTTGATGTCCTGAAACGAGCCTCTCGTAATGTGTTCAGTGAGGTAGCAATCATCTATTACACGAAGACACTGTATTGAATCAAACCCTGGCTGCTCACGGGACGATACCCCCAAACGGCAACAGCATTCAAAGATGTAGGCAAACATCGTTCATTTACAATCGGTAACGACTTTATACCCTTTCGGAAGCCTTTCACCATGTTTGTAAATATCGAAAATAACCAAATTATGGTTCGTACGTTTCAATACTCCCGAGTGTTTTTAAAAGCACCTTAACTCGTTGAATACGGTTCAGAAGACCCTGGATAGTCATTCAACGGAAAACCTTGTACATCTGTATAACCGTATATTGCCCTCAGTTGTCGTTAGACCTCGAATCAGCACATATTATTTGGTCAGACAACATTGTGATTACCATAATAATTGGATATCTTTCGATTCACGATAACTCCTAGTTCTAAGCATTGCAAAGGAAGCAACGAATCAATTTGCTTTCTCTGATATATCGCGGGAGAGGCACGCATCAGCGGATAGCACACTCATACATGTCTTATTTTGCGACAAGACACTCGTCTTTTCTCTCAAACAAAGTTAAAGAGAGATGTCTCTTTTTGTTCTTACTTCACGTGCTATCAACAGCCAGGATCACGTGAGGACGTTCCATGTTTGGTAGGTGGAGGAAAGCCGGAGTTCCCGGAGCAACCGACCTGCAGCCAGTACCTGGCGACTACCCCATGATGGACTCAAACCCGCGACCTAGAGGTGGAGGGCAAGTGATGAAGACAGTCAGTCATGTTTAACCACTATGGCACCACGGCCCCGAATAGACCTTTGATTACATGCCCATAGTATTATGAAGATGTTTTGATGTAGATTGATGAAAGCTTACATTACGTGCACATTATGTAGCTCTTTTCAATTTCCACCTATTCATTTCCCCAATCTGACCTGTGATTTATTCCGTACAATGAAACAGCACCACAATAGTCATCCTCGATACTCCAGGGGTAATAATCACATTCGCTCTCTGCTTCCCTGGAACTTATCATGGCAAAATTGAAGGTTGCGTGAGCGACACCTTGTGGACACGACGAAAAGACTAGTTTGGTCCGTTGATGTTCATCAAACGAATCTCAGGGTCGCATAACGGTATTATTGTAGCGATTTTTAAGTTGGGTGTTCCTCCTTTGTAATCTTCAAAAGAAGCATATTAGTCTGTGATTGGTCAGTTTTATCTCCTGGAACCAATAAAATTACTTTTGTGCGTTCAATTTTGCTATAACATTTTCCAGTGGTTCAGAGAGCGAAAGTGATTGTAACCCCCAGAGTCTATGACAGGCATTCTAGTGTCAGTTTAGTCTGATCCAGTAGCAAACACTCAGGGATCCGTATGTTGGATATACATCATCATAAATTTTTACAGAGAAGGTCATGAAAAAGTATCGTTATTTAAGAGTTCAACGTCCTCGTAATTATTACTTCTAAAATTAGAAATACCACAGAAAAGATTAAGGTGCTGGAAGAGATCGTAATTTGAGATGTGTGATATTAACATAACAGAAATGAGATATATGGAGACTCGTCTGTTACTATAGGGGTTTTGTGATATCTCAAGATTTAATATGTTCTGGCTTCAACACCAATGTCTGGTATCGTTATGAAAATATACATAAATGATTTTTTATATCTAACCACGGACTTGGAATAGATATTCGAAGTCCATGACAAAGTATTCAAGAATTGGATGCACCTCTATTGTCTATTCTTGCTTTTGAATTCTGATACATGTTAACTACGATTAATATGACCTTAACAAAAGAGAATACTATTAACAAAAATGCCCTATTTTTATTATCATGATCTTTTTCTTAGAGTCTCTAAATAAATGTTTCCATTTCATATGTTTATCGATGAATCATACCATACAGCCCCCCACCCCCACCCCCACCCCCCAATCCCTTTTTTTTCGGGGATGATATTTCCACTATTTTGCGGTACATATGTATCAGATATCATTTTAGGACGACATCGCGTAATTTGAATCCAATCAAATATGAGTCCATTGGTCAAATGAAAAATCGTAAAAATTCTGACCCGTGAAAATTATCAGTATGATGAGTGAAAGAATAGCATTGCTGGTGAAATGTACACACTTTCTGGTTGGAAACCACTTGATGATAAACATTGTTTTAACATTTAATATAATGACAGAGGTATAACGATAAACCGAATGAGCTCTTCAGAACATAGAGGGGTATTTACATCGTATGTAATAAAGCTAAACATAGATATATGACTTACAAATCAAGATCGTTGACGAGCAGCACAGCATTTCACGCTTTCTGGTCAAAATTCATAAACTGTAGATACAGCTCTATTTGATGAGAGTCATATTTAC